AGAGAGACAAGGATGCACAAGACAGACCTTATGATCTATTTTAGGTGATGATGTAGCTCTCATATTGTACAAGAGTTTCTCATGCTCTTTGATCATCGCACCATCTTTGTCAATGGACCACACATCCTTACCTTCCTCTTTCTTACCTTCCCTTCCTATGGGCATCACGTTGAAACTTAAATGCATTATCTAACTGTTCTTTAAATTCCTGATATTGATAAAGGAGATCTGAATGAGAATAGAGTTAGGGAACTGAGAGAAGTCTATGCACAGATGGTGAAAAGGCGTAAGAGAGAGGTGTGGAACAGAGAAACAAAGAGATCTGAAGATCTTTTCTGCCATCATCTTGCCTAGCTTTTTGACTGGAACACAGGCACTTTCACAACTTTTCAAACACCCAACTTGTCACAACACAGCACAAGGAGATCTACAGCATAAATGATCCAAATCCATAACCACAGCTTCCCAAAGTGGGAGTTAACAGACTCTGGAATACCAGCAGGTGCAGGGACATGATTATTTGTTACTTTTTTTTTTTTTTTTTTTTTTTTTTTTGTATTAGGCTTCTTGAAAATTGAAATAGTACTATTCATAATTCATCTCCCCTCCACCAGCTAGTGAAGCATCTTTACTTAAACAAAAAAACATTCACTTCAATGTTAAGTGCATGCATGAATGAAACATGCAACTAAAAGACATTTAATGATATTTGCACAAATACTTTCCAGTAATCATTCTAATTTTAATTATCTGGTGTATGAATCCTGTCTCTTAACATGTCAAATGGTGTTTTGCAGTCAGTCCCTAACTCTGTGGGCTGTCTCCTAGTTCAAACTTGCTTTGCAGCTTTTGCACTAATATTTTTCATTCTGCACCCTAGCTTTACAGCCTCTCAATTTTTTCATATGTTTTTGATTTCTAAATGCTCTTTGCTTATATCTATACAATCAAATACAGTGCACTCAAAATAAAGTGTGGGCTATAAATATGTGAAAATAAAATTCGGGAAAGCTGCAAGCATTTTTTCCAGCAAAAAATATTACACATTCAAAAATACATAAATAAAGATTTTAATAAGCCTCACACTAACAGGCACATGCCTACTCATTCCTCCAAATTCTCAGAGCTCTTGCATAAGACTTCTTTTATATTTGTCTTAGTCCCTGAAGTTACACACATCTTAAAGTTAAAAAAGATAGACTTGTTAATAACACACAAATGTTCATAGACATAACATCTTTACAGATATCCTCTATAAGCAGATCAAGCTACTCTCCATATGTATTTAAACGTAACGGAAGGCTGGATTTTTTAAGTTGTCAGATCTGTGCCTGGGTAAGAGGGGCTCTATTTTCACTCCTCGAGCAGCAAGAGATTAGCAGCTTGAAATCACTTTGACAGTTTCAGTTACTCTATTGCATACCGCAGGGAATTTTAATTCCAACCTGTGAAATTGTAATTGCTTCTCAAGAAGTGCGGAAGGATTCTGGGTAATGGCCACAGCCAAGCTCAATGTCAGAGTTGCCAGTTGCTGCCACTTCAGATATTACTTGCTGTTATTCAAAAATCACTCCAGCCTTCCATATGGGAAGTTGAACTGGGGAATGAAACTAAATTAACAGAAGCTGTCAGATGTTCAGAGATGTGCAGACAATGATGTGACAGAGGTGGATGAACTCTTCTCAAAAGGTACCTTCTCCTTTTTCTCTGCTGCTTTATAGAATAAGCTTTACGTAAACCACTTCTTTTATTTCATATTCTTTTTCTAAACAAGTATACCATTAATAGAAAGCTACAATGAAAAGATTAAATGACGAAGTCCTCCAGCATCCAAAACCATACACAAGTAGGACATAAAAAGTGTGCACTTAATGTTGTTCAGAAGAGATTTAAGATGTCATTGCTATTCGAGCCTTGTGGTCTACAAGATTCCTCACTGAAAACAAAAAGAACTCAGAGCTACCACAGACATTCAAGAAAAATAGTTGAGGCTTCCTTGGTATCAAAAGGAAATGAGATTCTTTTTTGCCTTAAAAAAAAGGCATTTGACTGTAGATTGCTTATTAGTAGACACATTCTCTAGCAGTGTGTTCACACACGTGTAGAAGTGAGATCAATTGACTGTGGGGAAACTTCTCCTTCCAATGACCTCATTAACTTGGAGTGCAGTACATTTCTCTCCCCCGCCCCCGATGGCCTGTAAAGAGAGAATACTTGGTATACATAGGCCTCAAACAATGCTGATGTAAAAATTAAAAACGCCACCTGGCATGGAAGTTAGAGGCATTCAGGGAGCCAAACGGGAGCAAAAATCACAGATCAAATGTGTTCAGGCCAACCGGTTCCATGAAGGAGATATACTTCTACAGCTCACTCTGCTCCCAGGGAGGTTCCCAGCCTTCACCTGTAGCCCCAGGCAGCATGCAGTTTAGGTTTTGCCTGAAGGCCTTTGACCAAATTTGACTTGTTGAGCTCAGTGGCTGTGGCTTTGAAAGCTTTAGTTGTAAATAAAGAGGAACAAATGAAAGACACTCTACTGCTCTACAATAAAGTATCAAAAAGCACTCTCAAAATCTAAAGAAGGGTAATAAAATACTTGATAAACAACACTTCCTACTTATCAGGTTAAAGCTCAGTTTAAGAATATACTGTATCTGTGGGCAATGTTATTTAGGAAGTCTTCTTCACCTTCTTTCTGTATATTGCATTATTTCTAAGAAAAGAAGCCAGTCCCATTTCAGCCAGCGATGAACAGAATCTAAATCACAAGCTTTGTAAATCTCTGTAACATCTGATGCAATGAGTCTGTAATTGCTACGATTAGATAAGCTAGAGTGGCTGACAGAGTGCTAGAGGCATAGAACGTATCTGCATAGTTTATTCCCATCAAATGCACAAATCTGGCTCAGATATAATGATTTTTGTCAACTCATAGTTTTCCTGAGAATCTTGTGATAATGTGGTACTTTCCTGAAAATTTCAGCTCTCAGAGTCAAGTGGGGTTTTTTTGAGAATTTCAGGTTTGTTAAAAATGTAAATTACTGATTGTTACATATTCCTAGTTGTAAAGAAACCCCTGAAAAATCCAAGCAGAAGCCAATCAAGAGCACATGGTTTTTTTTTAAATCCCATGAGTTTTAAGTCTTGGGTCATGACCTTCAGTGGCTGCAATAAGAAATATGTCAAATCATTATACACCTAATTTCCTGAAGACAGTTACATTTGTTGTTATAATTTACAAGCTGTACTGAAAGCATCATGGTGGAACTTCCTGATTAATTCTCTGAAACTACTAGGAAGCCTCGGTTCATAAAGTACAAAGTGTCCTTCCTAGGGGATTATTCATCTGCCCTGTAGAGCCACAGTACTGGCTTTGGCTGGGATAGAGTTAATTTCCTTCATTGTAGCTAGAGTGAGGCTATGTTTTGGATTTGTGAGCAAAGGAGTGTTTATAACAGGGGATGTTTTAGCTGTTGCTGAGCAGTGCTTGGACAGAATCAAGGCCTTTTCTGCTTCTTATGCTGCCCCGCCAGCGAGGAGGCTGGGAGTGCACAAGAAGTTGGGAGAGGACACAGCTGGGACAGCTGACCCCAACTGACCAAAGGGATATATATTCCATACCATACAATGCTGTGCTCACCAATAAAAGCTGGGAGGAAAGAGAAAGAAGGGGCGGGGACTTTTGCAGTGATGGTGTCTTTTTTCCCAAGTCACCATTACACATGATGGAGCCCTGCTTTCTTGGAGATGGCTGAACACCTGCTTGCCAATGGGAAGGGGTGAATTAATTCCTTATTTTGCTTTGCTTTGCTTGTGCACACAGCTTTTGCTTTACCTATTAAATTGTCTTTATCTCAGTCCACGAGTTTTCTCACTTTTACCCTTCTGATTCTCACCCCCATCCCACTGTGGGGGAGCGAGAGAGTGGCTCTCTGTGTTAGTCTCCTACGGGGGTTAAACCACAATAGCCACACAGGCAGCTCAGCTCCACCTGTGCTCTGTATGACACAAACATACTTAAAAAAATACAGTTTCTGCTCTTAAGATTTTAAACAGAATTTGCAAATGGAAGTTTGGATGAAGATCCAGAAAGGTGACAAGGCATGAAAGAACAAACAATATAATGCATTCAGCTGCTGGCAGAACTGGGCACAGAGTCCAGTCCTTGGCTGACCAGCACAATCTCAAGATGTGTAGAGATCCTGTCATGACAAAAAAGGCTTGAAGAAAGGAAATAGAAATATGCAGTGTGCAAAACGTAACCTCCCCATTAACAGAGCAATATTGTCTTATACATAGCATGATCCAATGCACAGCTAATATGAGATTCACATGTAGTTCTCTGAGCATTACACAAAATCTATAGAGACTGTATTAATCCATCTTTTAACAGAACTCTATCACCAGAACTGCATCTTCCCATTCAATGATAAATAACCAATACCTTTAAAATTATTTCTATGCAAAAAATAATTCTTATTGTATTAACAAATCTTAGTAACTCATTGTGAAGCTGAGTGATACGATAGCAAGACAAAAATTCTTCCAGACATGACAGCAAAATAAATAGCAACAAATGACAAGCTTTAATGGCCCAGCAGTGTTTGATTCTGTAATGTAAAAAGACACATAACAAACCATCACACTGCATTAAGCAAAATCTTTAAGAAAGCTTTAAATGTTCTACCCATAAAAGATTACCAACATCACTCAATGAAAAGATTTCTTATAAACTTCATGAGTTTCCTGCATGCAATTTTACCTGCTACAGCATTTATGAAAAGAGTAACCAATGCAAACATTGCATCACTTGAGAAAAAAGAAGAGGAAAGATGCAACAAACTGTTCTGCCAACCAAGGATCTCAAATTTTGGCAGGGTAGGTCTCCCTAGAGTTTATCAACATTCTCTCCTATGAATGACAGGAAAGGCATAAGGTGAGTACAAATTATTGCCCAATTTATATTAGCTTTTATCTTTCTGTTTTGTTTTGTTTTTTTTAAATGTTGGTCAAAGAAGTGTTTCCTTTGAAGATTTTAAACAGCAGTTTTATTGTTTTCATAAAAGCCTCATTCAGTTCACAGTTCTGTTTTCATTCCTCCGTAGTAAAACATAACAAGAAGTGCCAGCAGAGCCAGGCTGACAGACAGTATCTTCAGTCCACCGCCTTCTTGTTGCCATGGGAGCTGCAAAGCCATCCATGAGCTGAGAGGTGTTTTCACTGGGATCTCAGCAGAAGGCTGTGCTTTCCAGTTTGTGCCATTCTGCAGTGTATGTCTGAACTCCTGTGAAGAAATACACATATTAAGATTGAAACTGTTATGCATTCCTGACTGTACATACCAAATACAAATAAAATTTCCTCTTTATATGGAGGTTCACATGAATATCATTTTCAAGACAATCTACAATTCAACCTTCACTGCATCACTGTCAGGTCATCAGTTTTTCATACAGAAATATTACCAGTGTCCTACAAAGTCTAATGAAATTAACTGCCAAATCAATGAAGCTGTTATCAACAGAAGGAAATCTCCAGACCTCAATATCATGAGAGTTGTTTCATGATTTTTTTTTTTGTTTGTTTTGCTGCTATCTCACTACTTCCCCATTTTTGGCTTCTTCAAAAGAAATGTCTAACCAGTGATAAAGGGGACCACAACACAACAATCCTTTGCACAGCAGGGCTCTTCTGAAGTCAATCATCGTCTCCTGGTGTGCCAACTCAGTAGTGCTTGAAAATCCTCCCACAGGGCTTTTCCTTTCCCCTGACCCTCAGGAGGCAGCTGTGCTAAAACACTCACCTTCTCATTCAGCATATTGAATCCGAGTTCCCTGCTGTGCCTGCCATTACCATTCTTAACCTGACTGCAAGGACCAAGATCCCCCAGAATATCAGGACTTTTAACTGCAGCTCAAGATACAGATGTTGAGTTGCTATTTCAGCAGAAAATCCAAGTGGAAAGAATAAGAAACTCTTCTCTCTTGCAACCTTGTTAAATTCAGCACACTAGCACTGTAGATACTCAAAAGTAAAAACATCTATTAAAACTGTAATCTGATGACATTTCCAAGAGGCGTAAGTGGCAAAGGTGTAATTAAGCAAAGGTGTAATGATCTTGCATCATAAGATTCAGCATTTCCGTTCATCATTTATTTTTTCCTGCCTGTATTTCAATAGTCTCTTAGGAATTCAACTGAGCTCAGCTGGGTTTTTAATTGGTTTGAAATTTTCCAGTTATAAAAAGTTTTTCATTAATCCATTTTATTTTTTTCCCTTTACGTTTTGTAGAAAACAAGTCAGGGACCCAGAAAGTACCTATCTGGGTAATCCTGTATCTCCAAGCAGCTGGAACAGGGTCACATGAAAATACAGACCAGATGCCTGACTCTCTCTTTTACCAAATGTATTATTTTTGGGCAAACTCAAAGAAATATTAAAGCTCCAAGAAAGGTGCTTGCCCATGAAAGTGTGACAGCACAAATCAAACTGTCTATAACTGCCTCCTGTTTTCCATTTCAGGAACAGCTCCATCACAGTAATTGTAGAAGGAAAATAATGATTACTACTGGTTAGGTAAGTATGCATCAAAGGGGCAAATGACAGCCTGGTGTAAGTGCTATTCTAACATCTGAGGTATTGTTGATTTAGATCACAATTCACACAGGCAAAGGGTTACTGAACAAGTGACCTATGAAATGAGGATGACTTCATATATATACTGCACACAGAAGACCATCAACCCGGTAGGTAACAGGAGACAGGTAAGCAAATTGGGGTGTAAGTCTCCACAGTGTAAGACACAGTAACAACACTACTCCAGGTCTTCAGTCTATACTGTGTAGAATATGTTAGCTTCATCAAAAACTATGAAACTGCTTCATACTGTTATTAACTACAATCAAGTCCTAAGGCATCTGAAATTTTAGTAACTGGCCATAGCTATTTTATCCCCCCAAAATCAATGATTAACCTTTGCCTGCAAAATAAACTGGAAACCATAGAGCATTAAGGATTTTCTATATATGAATCAAAACTCATTTGCAGTTTATTCTTTCTAAATATTTATAAAGCCTTTATTTTCTTTGCAGGTCTCACAAATCTCTACCATTCTAAGGTGCATTATTTATGGTCATGACACATTTTTACATGTATTGTTGGTATGTTAACACTAAGGTTAAAGTGGTTTAAAAGAATGGATAAGGCTATAAAAATATCAATACAACCAAATTTCTTCTGATATTTAATTTTCACCAATTCATGACTCAAAATTTGGCTGACTACAGACTCCCAACCCCTTATGAAATATTTCTACACAGATTGATAATCAGTATAGTCCTGAATATTTAGTTGTACAACACTAGATGTTATCACTTATAAATAAAACAGATAAAAAGGGCCAGTACCTCATAAATGACTTTCTAACTTTCTCCTCAATTCTCCTCTTCATGCTCAGCCTTATTCTGATCTACCTGTCTCTGCAAGACTGGGGATAGCCAACAAAACACCCTAAATACAAGTTACAACCTGTAAAAAGTTTTGAGGGATGACTTCTTTTTCCCCTTTATTAACAGTTAAACACATTAGCGTTTCATGCATTCATTCATGTTCCTGTGCAGTAGTTTTCAGTAGTAATTTCACTGGCGTTTCACTTCTATTTTACAGTTTTTCCATTTTCCAACATAAACCCAAATAGTCTCATCTTGTTGCCACAATTTTGATCATGAATAGCCTACGCTGGGGTTTTTTTGTTATCATATTGTTTTCTTAAACCTCTATTGCAACAGTCGATGCATATGCATTAGGTAGTGCTGTGTACTGCTAGTAGGACAGAATGGCAAAAGAGATTTTAGCAATGTTTACAAAGTTCCAGTGGTGGGAAACGTCACTGGCTCCACTGCCAGTTGTCCCAGTGGTATTTCATTCAAGTAAGTCAGCCTATAAAGTTGTGAGGCCCAGTTTCTTCCTTACTTTATCATATTTCCCATAAATTAGATGATCATACTGATTCACTAAACCCACTTTTAATTTTCTTACTGTAGATGAGTTTTTCTCTTACAGTATTTCACTAATACTGAAAACTGGGTTGGAGGTACAATTCTCAGAATTTCACTATGCCTTTGTTTTTCTTCTATCTTATACTTTGAACTCTGATGCATTTGTCTTTACCAGTAGTCACATTTTCTAAACTGCTGAAAACTTCCAAATCATATCTCAGATCATACTAGAGACTGTCAAACAATTTAAACTAGAAGTTTTTCTTTCAGTAGATGCATACATGAAATACTGCTCCTTTTACCTTGCTAACCTGAATTCTTCATAAATGTTCTCTTGAAACAAACTGTTCTTATATGGACAAAAAGATCACAACTGGCAAACTAAAGTGACCCTTTAAGATATATTTCACAGTTCATCACTTAAAACACTACTGCATTTCTGTTTGACAACATATATCTCTTCAGATGATCCCGCCGATTATTTTCTTTTCAGAAAAGTAATGATTATGTTCATCCAATCCATGTTTTCTAAGAACTATTCTCTAGTTTGCCCCAAAATTCTGCCTTGCAACACTGATGCACGGGTAATAACACCAGCTTCCTTGAAAATTTCTGTCATTATTGTCACAGAAGGTGCATTTGTAAAAAAGGATACATCTGCTTCCCTGCAACTGAAAGGCTGCTTTAGAAAATGGCAGTCTTTTGTCCCCCCCTCCAATTCATACAACAGCTTTTAAAAACAGGATAATCTCTTGGAGACACCTGCAGGTAGATGACTCTTCCCAAAAGCCTGTTGTGCAGCTCTGTAAAACATGGGATGAAGCTCTCAGTGGGATGAGGAAGACCTCTGCTAAGCCGACCACATTCCTGCACTCTTTTAAGCCTGAGCTAAGGGCTGAGTGGCCCTCACTGCAGTCTGGACAACAGCGAAGTGCCTGTCTAGAATATAATCAGTTCTTACTAACATACAAGTATCATATTGCCAGCTTTGTTAGTGAAAAACACAGAATATCTCTTTTTATTTGGGAAAAAAGTCCTTCTATAGGCTCCATTTCAGGAACTAGTTTCCAGGTAAAGCATAGAGTATATATTATATACTGTACAGAAGGCAGGGAGAAGATGAAGTTACAGAAACTGAAACTAAAATTAAGCCTTCTAGGGTAGACAAAACAAATTACAAGAGCTTCTTTGGGCTGTCATATGAGCTTCAGAGTTTGCAATACTCTAGCGCTATATTCTGAGATCCTCTCACATGTGTTCTTTTCCCTAAAGCTTTCCATATACTGTGCCTTGAAGAGCTATCCAAGACACCTGCAGAAAAGATCTTTCATGTTTTGTGGGGAGGGGTGTTCTCCACAGGAAACCAACTGTAGTAGAGCCCTTTCATGCACCTTTGGTGTAAAAAACCTGGGTCAAGGCAAAGATCTCATTTGTTGAGCTAGCAGTCATGCTGGTCCACTCCCTGTGCTCTCACTTCATAAAAGTTATTAATTCAGAAAGGCCCTTATTTGTATCTCTAAATGAAATATTTGCAGTGCATTAGCTTTTCAAGGAAATCTTCAAGGCATTTCCGTAATATTCTGAACTGATATAACTGGTGATTTTTACCATACACAATCAGTAGTCAGAGTGCAATAGTTTCTCAAGCTGAGCTCAGAAATCACAATTTTGTAGCTGCAAGACTTGGGAAGATTAGCATAATGATTCAGTTCAGTGGAATTTAGAAAATCCAAAGCCTCTTTTACCCCCAAAATACTTGGAGGAAATCCTAAGGTAGAGAAGTTTCCAGAAATACATATTTACACTAATTTGTCTCGATAGGCCATAAACTCTTTGGTAGACTTGTTGTTAATAAGCAACATTGCCATCCCTAAAAAGAACAGCAGTGAAGGAAAAGATACTCTAAGATTTAAATCTATATGCTATTAATCAAAATGAGAGAAGGAAGGGAAATTATCAAACTGAAATGCAAAGACAGACACTTTGAGCTAAGCATCTTGTATTTCCATGGAGGCAGCCTTTCATCTTGTTTTGGCAGCCACAAAGTAAACACAAGACTTTGCTAATAAGGTATATTATAAATTATTAAACCATCTACTGTATGATCAAATGCATTTCAGATTATTTTTTGAATAATTCTGTCTTGACGACTGCCAGGAGTAATATATTTTGTGTACTCTTGCACAGACCCATTGATTGCTGTCTTTCTGAAGCTCCAGTCCCAGACTTAAAATGCTGTGCATGAAAGAAATATATAATCACATCAAAACCTAAGCTTTGGCATCTG